AGCGCTTGCACAAGGGCTGGAGGCAGATGTTTGCTTATGTGATGAGAAGGTGAAGGTCTAGAGCAGCAAGAATTTTTGAAACTGTAAAGACTGGGTAGAAACATCAAGGCAAGTGAAATAAAGCTATGCATCTAGTATTATGGCCAAAGCTTGATAATAAAAAATTACTGGCAGCAAACATACAGCATGATAAAATCAATTATCCCAGATCTTAACATACAACCCACATTCTTGAGGACTGGATGCTGGCAGTTGGGGAATATCGGAAGGATGTGCAGAATGTAAGATCAAGATGATGCCATTTAGACAGGAAACGGGGTTAGGGGATGGCTGGAGCATCCTGCAGAAGGAAGACTTGAAAATGGTGATTTCCACTAAGCTAGCAAGAAGACTCTGAAACGTAGGCAATGGCATTCAGATAAGGTAGTGATGACAAAGAAAGTCTAACAATAAGTAATATTCAAAAATTATTAAAATTGAAAAATTAAATTACATTATAAAGTAAATTTTCTTCAATATTAAAAAAATGAAGTGGGAAAGAGCCGCGGATATACCACGTTTTAGCTAAGAGATGGAGAGAGGGGTGGATGGTACACTGGCAAGCAAAAGATGAGAAAGGATCAGAGTACCCCAAAATGGTTGCATCGCGCTGAAGATGGCACTTCAACAGAATTACAGACAGACTAGAATGATGTAAATCAAGCAAACTTTGGCACATTCTGCTGAGAAAGGGCGAGGCATTTTTGACACGACTGAATAGAAAGGAAACTGAAAGCGCTCTACCAACCAAAGGAAAGGACAAAGGAAAACAAGGAACACGCAAACGACAAAGGAGAGAAATTAGCATTAAGGGAGAAAAAGAGTTCAGCGGGAGGGTTCTTCAACAATTCAAGTGCACTTTGCCACGGAAGTACTAAGGATAATCGCAGAAAATTTGAGGCTACAAGCAAGAGCTGTTTTACCAAACATAGGCCCGGAGAATTGCGGTTAAACGCAAGCCGATCGTGCCTGCTGATCTCTCCTCATTTTGGCTAGGAGCGGTTTGGAGCTGAAAGGAGCGATGAGGCTTTGAGGAAGAAATTTTTGAGAAGAAACTACTCATACTTCCGACCAAAACTCAAAAAATTTTGGAGCCTTTAAGACGAAGAAGAGTAGGAGAGAATAATAAGGAATGACAACAGTGTGGACATTTTTATCGCAAGGATGGGGGTAGCGAAGAAAATGAGCCCCCACAGCCCCCAACCCCCACACCCTACTCAGACTACCAAAAGCGTCCAGTCTGTACATCAAAGGATGAAAGAGAGAGGGAAGGAAACCTAGGAAACTTTAATTGGGAGACCGGTCAAGAGGCGTTTTCCGACTGTCACTAACTTAAAACTCCAGTTTAGTGTCATGCGAGTCTTCAAAAAGGTCCAGATGAAGTGTGTTGGCTTATTGTCTGTCTGAGATGACCATTTGCTGAGTTTGATAGCTTTTGCTGGACGCCGAAATATTTACGACTTTGTTCTTGACTGCATTTTCATGAATTTTTGACCTTCAAATTTGCTGTTCTGAATTGATTCCAAGGCAGCAATATTAAGCAACTCATGCAACTATCTGATACATCTCCTTTCAAAATTCAAATGCTTCTAAAATATTGTAAAACTCTTATTGTGTGCTATTTAGTGTCCATCTGGCAACAAAAATCGAGCGGCGTGGCAGGAGTTCCCAAAGCCTAGCCGCTTTTCCTCGCAGGGGTACTCGGCACCTCCAGAAATCCCTTAAAGAACATCACCCTTTCTAGGGGCCAAAGGGCGGTCCGCACACTACTCCCTCTAGGTAACCTCATTCTGAATTGTACACACTCACTGTAAGACGTGCTTCATTGGATTTGAGGATAGTAGAACTGAAATCGAGAAACAAAAAAAATCTTCTAGATTTCTAGAAGGTTTTAAAATCCATAAATGACTGCAGTTGAATTTTCAGCGTTTCGTTCGCTGCTTGCACACCTCACAATGAGACCAGTAAAGTGGAGCAAAGGGCGGAGTCTGACCTCTGAGGCACGGAGGTACCAGAACCCTCCTGGATGCGAATGCTGGTGCGAACTTGCTGCGAAGAAAGGTTCTAGGAAGTCCTGCATGCCTCTTAAAAATCGCGCCTCTTGACATACACCCTGACTGTTGCATGTCCAAGGGAAGGACACTAACTTAGATTCGCCTTTTGAGATGATACACATGTGTTTGGAATCAGCTTGAAACGCTGATTCCAAATATGCCATTCCTAGCTGCTTAGCGTTATTCTGAAGCGAGTTATGGTCTCTTTTCTATGCAAAATTTGCGTGCTCATCGACCTACTGATGCTACGTTGTCAACGTCTAGGTGGTTTTGCAGTTGTATAATGCTCCCTTTCAAGATCGAAAGAATTAATCTGTTGCTAGTTCAACATCCTAGCACTTTTTTCAAGCAGATTTCTATCTACACGCCGTCTTACGACATTCCGAAGTTTGTTAATTATTCACAACAGCAAGCCCATAACTCGCTTCGGAATAACGCTAAGCAACTGGGCACAACACATTTAGAATCAGCGTTCAAAGCTGATTCCAAATATATGTGTCTTATCTTAAAAGGCTAAGTTAGTATCCTTCCCTTGTTAGTTACCTCTTAACCCAATCAGGTATGTGCGCTTCTCTCCCTCATCCTAATTACGTCAATTAAAGTGGGTGAGATAAGGGAGAGTAGCGCACAAACCTGATCGGGTTAGGAGGTAACTAAGGACATGCAACAGTCAAGAAACGCCTGCCATTAAGCCCAATAGTGGGAAACCGTGGCGGGTTCCGAAGCGCTCTTCCGAATAGCACTTTTAGATTACTGGTTCATTAGTTAGGTTGGAACAAAAGTTCCGTCCCTCCCCCTTTATATCATACCAGACTAAAGTGCCGCGAAGCGGCACTTTAGTCTGGCCGTATGTGGAGTAGGATGTGCGCAAACATTTGGCACAGTATCTCTTCTTAGACAAAAATTGGGTGTGTTCAAACATTTGATAATAGTGAAAGCGGGAAGTGAGTGAAATTTCTGTAGGTTTCACAGCTTTCCTAGCTCCTCAAAGATTTTCATATTGAAGATCTGCAGCTATTTGCAAGGAAAGACGTCTTGCTGGCTCTCCAAAATAACCATGCTGAGCACGAGATTGTACAATTAGCATGTTTTAATAGCATACTGATCTTTTGAAGGTCATCTGACAAACTTCGTGGAGAAAATAGAAAGCTCTTCTGTTAGATTGCGCTGCAACCCTCCACTCCCTCTTCCCTCCCTCCTTTCCCCTCGCCTCCCCCCCCCCCCCTGCTCTGAAGGAAAGCTGTTAGCATAATCTTTACCAAAAGTTTCCTTCAAAGTCCAGATTTTCGTTGTTTTTTTCTTCAAAATTGTGCCACAGAATTTGCCAAATTGTGTTCCTAACCATACCTTTGAGGTTTTCAGATTAAATTTTTGTCAAAAATCTTATCCAGCGAGAGTGATTAACGTTTCAAATCTTTTCCGTTTACTCATTTTTCATCAAATAGTTTTTCTAAAAACCATGCAGAAACGTACTGGGCCCTTCTGAGCTTCTATCAGGAAAAATCTGACACTCATTTCTTCGCTAAAAATGTCTGAATGTCCCTAAATTAAGCAATATTAGAATATTTGGGCCATACTTGATTTTCGTCTACCTTTCGACTACATCCCAAAAGCTACTATTGAACTCATTCTGTCAGGACCGCTCAAACCTGTTTATTTGTTTGGAGACGTTGCATGTCTTGCCTTTGCTGATGTCAAAGTGCAAATCTCCAATTAAGTTTTTCCTACCGTCCCCCCCCCCCTCGTACGCTTCCCTAACATCTCAATTTTGTGGCATTTTAACGTTCCCATATTTTTCGTACTTCTAGCATTAAGGACCTCCATCTTGCTTTCCATCAGCTCACTATGATTTTTATACCTCATTCAATATGATTTTTATATTTAGATAGTCCATAACCTTGCTAGCGGGAGCTATCTGGGCTCGCGCTCTCCTCGCTATTGCGATACATAACGACGGGGGGATCTCTTGCGCTTTATTATATAGAGACTACTTGCTTACCCGGCTCCGCTCGGAACTGTTGAAACACTGTAATAAAGTTCCCATCCCTATCCCTGTAAAGCCTTTCCCTGTGCCCATTTCCACACTTCATTACCCGTTCCATGTGTTGTTTTCGAAATCAGCATGCCCGCTTACCCCTTTGTGCCAACTCCCTGCCCTGTAGTAGCTCAAACTTTGCAAAAAATCTATAAAATCGATAAAAGTAATAGGTAATACCAAAAACTAATATCGAACTCGTAATCAGCATGCTCGATTACTCCCCTGTGCAAACTCCCAGCCCCGCAGCTCAAACTTTGCAAAAAAAATCGATAAAATCGATAAAAGTAATCGATATCCCTGAAAACTAATATTGTATTCGGAATCCCCATGCTCGATTACCCCCCTGTGCCAACTCCCAGCCCCGTAGGTGTCTAAGACAAAAATCACTGTCCCATGGGGTACACCTGCACCGGCACATAACGACGGACGGTGTTGACACCACGAAGGGGAGGGGGGGGGGGGGGGGGGGGATCTTACATGCATGAGTCATCTGCAGCGCTTTATTATGGAGAGACCCCCAGAGATCTTCTTCCTTTCTCAGCGAATTTGCTTCCTTTGATTCTATTCGAAAACACTGGTCATGTTCATAACATTGGTTTTATTTGAAAACATTGACCATGTTCTTCATGAGTGCAATCAGCAGAAACTTTGCTCAACCGGAAACAAGAGGTGATGAAACCTGTAATTCAAACTGCTCCAATTCTGATACAAATCTCAGGTTTTAAAGATCAAACAAAGAAAGGTTGAAAATTGAGTAATCTTCTTCCAACGCGTTGAACTATGTCATATGTGCTCATCCGAAAGCCGCTAGAACGACACAAAGCACACCATCTGCTTTTTTTTGAGATAAAATCAAAAGTAAGCAGTTTGTTGAGAGCTAAAGGTGATGAATTATTAGAGATATTGCGACAAAGCAGTCCTGCCAACCTAATATTTCCTTCCAGAAACAAGGAAAACCACAGGTCGATCACAAATAACAAAAATTTATGATGCGTTTACTCATGTGAATGTTTACTTTGTGGCTGTAAACTATAAATACATTTGGGGAACTACTACTGTGCTCCTGGAGCTTCTCTCTAGGACAGAAACGATAAAATGCTAATATAACCAAGCCAGACAGAAAGGATGGAAAGACGATCAAATCATTCGCCAATATTACTCTGTATCACAGATAATAAACTAACGGGGAAACAATTCAAACAAAAAAGAAACAATGATCCATTCATTTGAGCAGCGCGTACTAAAAAAAACCATCGTAAAGCTTCCAAAAAGTTGGATAGATCTTGAACATAACATAAATTATCTCCCTGATAAAATCCCTTCATTATAAGCAGAAACAGAGAACACAGAAAAAACTGATTAAAGAATTCCATTTGTGTAGTACTGAAAGTTGTCGTACAGCCGGGTGGTCAATGAGTCTCGACTCTGCTCCACCAAGGTATCAACCTGTAAAATTTATGAAAGTATAGATACGCTGATTTCCCGAGCATTTTCTGAAACTTTCATTAGGTGAACTGCTTCAAAGTCTACAGATCTGGGCTTAGACGGAAATTGGAAGTTTCATAATCTAGAAGGTAAAACTAATGCTCAAAAATTTGGTTGACACAGTTACCTACGTGAATGGGTCATACCCAGGGTCAAGCGTGTGATGCGACTGTCGCAACGGGGGGGGGGTCGTAAAAAGCACCGGCGGTGAGGGAGGGGGGGGGGGGGGTCGTAAGAGAGGGTGATTCGAATTAAAAAAGTGTGGAATGTAGGAAATAAGCTTCTTAGTCGCAAACATTACTCTTCAAAAAACAGCATTTTCTTACTGCAAAAAAGGTGTCGCAGACGGGGATCGAACTTGCTGGCCATAAGTATGACCGAGGATTCCAAAAACACTTTCAGAAGTTCAAACATTAGGCATGTATGAGTGACAAGAATGTTAAAGGTACCAAATGGCCTAGATATCCTGGTTCCGAAGCATCGCTGAAGTCTTGCACTCTCGACAAAAGCGCTCATCTCTACCAGCGATGACCATCGATAACTTGTGAAACTTTTTTGTTATGTCTTTCAAAGGCCCATCAATTTTTCTGTGCTTTGGAGATGCTCTGCTACAATTGTGCGAGATCTGGTTATATTTCACAGCCTGCGGATTTTTTTTAAATTTTATATATGGCAACAAAAAATGAAAAGGGGGGCGTATCAGGATCGCATCCAAATTTTTTCGCCGCTACGGAGGCCTGCTCTCTGCAATTTTGCTGTATTACGAGGCCGTCCTCCTACTTTCTATCATAAAAATTTTAGACTGTTTCATAACTTCTCCGGTGAGTAACGAAATTTCAAGCTCAAAAATCCCAGTTTTTGCTTTTTAGAATCGCATCTAAATTTGCGAAAGTCGCATCCAGATTTTTTCGAGCCCACTGCTCCTCAATGGCTGAAACTTTTTCCATGGATAATATGGCCAAAATACTACACAGCCTATGCATTACAGCCTCTCAGTCTTTCCTCGACCTTAGTTACGAGTTTTCAAAGTACCGTGCTCATGCACGTTTTTAGCATCGTTCTGGAAGGCGCTAACACGGTTTTTTTTATTTGCAGGAAGATTTGTGTAATAGATAGATTACACAAATCTTCCTGCAAAAATTAAGCTTTTTAGTCGAAAACAACTTTTACGCTTCAAAGATATCGTCTTTTCTCCCTGCAAAAAAACATTGTCGCGTATGGGGATAGAACGAAAAAATTAGCCAAACATTCGTAAGCAGAAAAGTTTATTAACCTTCACTAGAAAGATAGTTATTATAAAATAGTCAATTATAATGACTAAAGTGAACCGTTCCGTCATGCTCAATTTTTCTTAATTGTTATTTTATTTCATTTTTTATAGGCAGAGTACAGCTTATATGCCATTCAAATTAAAATCGATGTTCTGCTTTGTCAGATAATGTCCTTTTCATTCATATTTTACCACAATAAGCATAGCCAATCTGTAAAATTTTACTACTTACAGAGTCTACGTAGAATTATTTGTTTTTTGAGTGGCGAAGCATTACTTATTATCTCCCAATTTGTAAGTAGGTAGTTATCTTTTTCTGACCTATAATTTTGATTGAGGTCCGGTGGCAGGCATCTTTTGAGATTGACATTCGTTTACGCAGGTTACCGCAACAGGAAGTGGAGGAGGCGGGGGAAAGGGGAGGGTCGTACGGATGGGTACCTTTAGGGGGGGGGTCGTACGGATGGGTACCTAACAACAAATACCCTTCAAAACCTATGAAGTCACAACTGCGGAGGTCTTCAGCCAGCAGATTTGTAACAGTGGAATAATTTTTCACGATTTTTCATTATTTTATCATTCGAAATTCTGGTTCTCGGCGGTTACTGCCTGGATCGACCTACTACATAGATATATGCTCTTAATACTTTCTTTTACATTTTTTTGCTTATTTTCCTTCTTTTGAGCTTTAGCAAAAAAAATTTTCAAACACAAAAGTGAAGGCGGTCACCCTGTACCAGCTCAAAAGTGAAGGTAGGCGGAGAATTGGCTCCGACTAATCGCACCTCTGGTCCCGGATCGCATCAGCACGCTTGACCCTGGTCATACCCTTGATTAGCGCGTATAGAAAGTATGAGCCGTATGGCCATCTACCGTTGGCCCGGCGAACCAGTGCGTATACAGGATTGAAGAGGGGGGGGGGGGTTTTTTGGGATTGAGGGCCGCATGCATTAACATCCCCGCCGGGGAGGGAATCCAGCTTAAAAAAAGCTTCATATCCCAAAGCTCCAGATATCTGGATTTCACGCTACCTACTTATCAGTAAGTATTCCCACCATCCCTCACTATGAACATATTGAATAGAAGCGAGAAGCTGTACAAGCCGCGTTTTCCAGCTTTTTATATGATTCCCTAAAGATCCCTTGAGGACGGTTTTTTGAAATCATTTTTCTTTCCTCAAGGTTAATGAAAACATCCCAAAGTTGTATTGCTTATCTAACCCAATAGTGATAACAAGGGAATGGTCAGGAATCGAAGTGGCCAATTCAAGCAAGCTGCATAACATTCGATGCAGTATAGAATGCTGATTTCAAATCTGTCTTCCATATCTGCAGAGCGCCTTAAAACTCATTATTTTGCTAAGAAATTGTGCGTGTAAAGGGCAAACTTGGCCGTACAAAGCTATTCTTGGCTTAGTGTCTTAGTGTTGGACCAAAACATGCAACTGGGTCACTTCATATGGTTCGACCTAGAGGTGAGCCAAAAGACCAATGATGTGTCTAATTTCGCAGTTTTTGCGTACGATTTTTTCATAGTAAAGCTGCTCATAACTTCGCCTACAAAGGCGCTCTGCAGATATGGAAGACAGATTTGAAATCAGCATTTCATGCTGCATCGAATGGTATGCAGCTTGTATGGATTGGCCATTTCGACTTCTGACCATTCCCCTGTAAGCATGGTGCTGATAAGAACAAACGATGTTTCGGAGTCATGAAATTTTCGTTGAACCACAGGTCGAAAGTTGGGGTTTACCGGAAATTTCGATTTCAGAAACTCATTTGTTCTCATCAGCAACATGCTTAGCACTATTGGGTTAGATAATCAGTACATTTTTGGAATTTTTCATTAACTTTGAAGAAAAAAATTATTTTGAAGAATAGACGATCGTCCTCGTCACCAGGGGATCACCAGGGGATCATAAATGGGTCATGATTTACATGAGTTATAAAAATGTGAAAGTGACTTGTTCACACTTGTATTAGGTTGTTCCATAAGTCTTTTCATTTCTGAGTTTTCGCTATATAAGTCACATACTTTTTACTCTAAACAGACATCAGGACACCGTTCCATAGAGCAAAGAAAGCTCAATAAGATGGCTTTTATGCTTTTGCATCAGCTTCGATCCACCTCAACTTCGAAACCAAAATCTAAAAAGTTTCGGATGCTCAAAAAATTGAAAATTCTATATATCTTCATTCAGAAAAGTCCTACAGATCTCTCACTCGCTCACGCACATACACTCCACATCAGACATTAATATGTGCTGTTGTTGTATTTTTTTTATCAGCTAGAAATCAAGAAACCGAAAATTCTATGTTTCTACCAAAGTGATGCCGTGCTATTCTTACACTAACGTTGTACACTAGAAGCCCTTAGAAGTGCTACCGTAGATTTTTGGCTCTCTATATGTTCTGGTTCACAAGAAATATCAAATTTAGCTTTCTTCACTCGGGTTTTCACGCTTAAATCAACATTTCTCGGAAACCAGATCTTACAGAGAGCTAAAAATCTACGGTTGTACTTCTGAGGGCTTGTAGTATACAACTGTTAGTGTAAGAACAGAGCATCACTTTGGTAAAAACATGGAATTTTTCGGTTTCTTGATTTCTAACTGACAAAATACAGCAACAGCACATGTGAATGTCTGATGTGGAGTGTATATGCGTGAGCGAGTAGGAAATCTGCAGAATTTTTTTGAACGAAGATATAACAAATATTCGGTTTTCTGGGCATCCGAAACTTTTTGGATTTTGGTTTAAAACTCGAGATAGACCAAAGCTTGTGCAAAAGCATAAACGCCATCAATAGGGCTTGCTTGCTCTGTCGAATGGTATCCTGACGTCTACTTACAAGGAAACGATACTCAATGTCCGTGGCCTTTCGAGACGAGATGTATACCATTACACTCGCTTTCGAACGCTGATTCCGAATCTGACTTCCGTTTCTGCTAATCGTTTCTCTGAAAGAAGTTATGGAGGAATTTCGAGCCAACTTTATCCGCCCAAGGGTATGGTTACCAGAACGGCCTCTACCGGCGCCATGTTATTGTCTAGTGGTCAGTGTGATAGCCTCACAACTTGATACAAGTGTAAGTTCAAATCCTTTTGTGTTTTTATTCTGCAGCACCTCAATCAAAGTTGTTCGAGATTCACTCAAATTATGGTCAATGGATACATTTTAACGCAAATAATAAATTTTTTCCAAATTTCCACATTTTTTGAAGAGTAAAGGCGTTCAGTTAGCTGGAAGATGCGAAAGAAGGTTTATTGAGGCAATGCAAAACTGAAAAACACAAAGGGATTCGAACCTACACCTGCATCAACTCATGAGCCTATCGCGCTAACCACTAGACCACAGCACTACGTTAACGTTGGCGCTCCGACAGTATTTCACTGAGCAGCCAAGCTCCGCGCGATCCATCATAACATCTTTGAAGCGATTAGCAAAAACGGAAGTCAGATTCGGAATCAGCGTTCGAAGACGAGCGTAATGGTATACATCTTACCTCAAATGGCCACGGACACCGAGTATCGTTTCCTTGTTAGAACAGGAAATGTTACACTTATTACAGCGAAAAAAAAAAGACTTATGGGACAACCTAATAGATAATTAACACTACTTTTGAAAATTTCTAAAAGTACAAAGTAAACTTGTAAAAAAATTTTCGGGGCCGTGGCAGCAGCCACTCTTGGACGCGCAAAAATCTTCGGACGCATCCCAAAAAAATTTTCAGAGTGGCTGACGGCACGGACCTTTATTATAGAAAAAATTTTCGTCCCCCACCCCCCCCCCCCCCAATAAAAAACGGAAATCCTGGGTACGCCACTGTCTGGAGAGTGAAACGCTTGGTTGCCTTAAAGGGATATTCGGCTTTGAATACCAGTTATGGTGCTGCCTCCCAACCCCCCCCCCCCCCTCCCCCTCCCCTCTAACAAAAAGAATCATGGTTTGTAGCATGTTTCCGTTCCCGCTCGAAGCCTGGCCAATCGCAGCCATAAGCGACCAATTAAAGGCGCGTCGCTAGAGCGAGCATGGTCAGATCATTCTAAGGTACAAGCATGATGCTAAAAGTATATACTGTAAAGTCGCCCAGCTTCTTTGTACCTCTGTTGTTTATTTTGTTTATCTAGTCCTTCTTGGTCATTTGTAGGTTTATGTGATGCTTCAATGACTTTACTATGTTTACTATGTTTTAGTTGTTTCGTGTCGGGACACGCGATCGGGCGCCTGCACTTCTTCTCGGGCCGCTGTATAAGGCGGTTCCGCTTGGCGGATGCGTAGCAAGTGGTACCAGGCACCCGACTGCTGTCGCAGCCAGCCGCCAGAGCTGCCGGCAAAGCCGCTGCAAATGATGAAGTAATTATGCTCGTTGTCTAAAACTTGCCGAAAAGTTTTCTCACACCTCGTTCCTCTGAGGAGCGATATCAACCTCAGAAAAGCGTGATATCCTTGATATCTATATCACTGTAAACAACAGAAAACTCATACTTTTTGAGAGACATGCAAACAAACAAAGGTAAACAGGGGGGGGGGGATTTTCTAAAGCAAAATGACCACAAAATCAAATCATTTCAAAAACTCAAAAGAAACAGAAGCTAAATATTCACAAATTCTCAAATTTCTAGAAGAAAAATTTTTTCGCTTTTACGTCGAAGAAAAGACGAGAACAACTACAGGATAATGTCATGGATATAACGGTAAGGAAACTCTGTCAAAATGATTTTTTCATACATCGTGATGTTAAGAGAGCTAAATGAAGCAAAGTAGGTCAATCAAATTGATCGTGAGAATAAAAAAATAATGATGTAAAAAATTCGAAATTCAGAACTCTTGCAAGATAATAAAAGTTCAAAATTGAAAGAACCACCTTTGATAACTCTTCATTAGAACCGCATTTCGAATTCTAAAGTGTTCACGAAAAAGTGAATTCACTTCTAAAATTCTTCGTTGGAGAATTGAGGATCCTCAAAACTACAGCTCAATGAACATTTATTGTACTTTGGTTTCAAAATTTGTAACAGAAAAGAATGTTTGATTTCCTATTCATTTATTTTTGTGATCGTTTGTGAAATTTTGAAAATTTTGCAGTGTAGTTTTGTATTCGACTGCATGGTTCTTAATAAAATATGGTTTTTGTCTGTTATCCAAAATAATATAGTTATTGAAGATATCGCGCTATCACTTACACAATTTGATTGACCTGCTTTGCCTTTTTAGCTCGCTTAACATCACTGTGTATGAAATAATCATTTTGACAGTTTTCTTACCTTTATATCCATGACATTTTCCTGTAATTGTTCTTGTCCTTTCTTCGCCTTAAAAACGAGAAAAAATCTCTAGAAATTTAATTTCTAAATTCAGCTTCTGCTTCGTTTGAGTTTTTCAAGTGATTTGGTTTTGTGATCATTTCTTTAAAAAAACCCTCCCCGTGTTTACCTTTGTTTATTTGCATATTTCTCAAAGAACATGAATTTTCTGCTGTTTAAAACGATAATATCGAAGAAATCACGCTTCTATGAGGCTGATATTACACCTCAGAGAGATGAGGTGTAAGAGTTTTAGACGACGAGCCTAATTACTGTACCATCTGTAGGTTGTCGGCAGCTCTGGCGGCTGGCTGCGGCAGTAGTCGGCTGCCCCGGGTACTATTTGCACGCCTCCCCCGCTTGGTCAGGTGAGTCTCAACGTCGGTGCTACGAGGAGCCTTGGGCGCTACGCCGAGCCCCCGCAATAGCGCCTACCCTGAGGCCAACTACTGCGTGACAATACCCGACATAAAAGCACATTTAGAAGCAATGCTCCTAGCAATCCGAAATACAACATCTTTGAGAGACCCGTCATACTTCGCCGAGAAAAGCACAAAAGCACTTGAAAAAGCCCAAAAAAGGCCAAAAGCGCCGGAGAGAGCCGGAACGCTCCCTTCCGCGCGCACCTTTTGGCGCTAAGGCCTAAGGCATACCTCGCGCGATTCTGGCCGCTGCGCGATTTGGCACAACGGCGACTCTTTGTAATTCGTCGTTAATGTGTTTCCTTTGGTCAGAACTTGACCCATTTGCAACAACTTACACAAGCTACCCGTCTATGCTTCCGAGAAGCGCGCACGACAAATTTTTGGATGTCTGGCAAATTGCCAAGTCGCGTGAAAGTGGCGATTTGGCCGAATCGCGTGAGGTATGCCTTAGGCCTAAGGCATGTGTGTTGATTTTGCAACCGAGTCTTTCTGGTTCATTTTCTGTCGTCTGCACATCAAAATAATGTCAGAATTCTACCAAAAGTTCATTTCTGCGTTCCAGCTTCTTCTGGCGCTTTCAGGCTTTTTCGGGCTTTTTGAGCGTTTTTGAGCGCTTTTGGGCTTTTCCCGGCGAAATATGACGGGTCCCTAACAGCAATTACAGCAAATGGGTGACACTTGTGCCGGATAATCTATGGCTCGCGAGTTTTGAATCTGAATCATCTTTTCATCCATGTGGTCAGATCAGATATGAGGCCAAATAGATGCTATTTCAAGAAAGTTTGTAATAAAAAGGCTTCCACTGCCAATTATCTTTCACTCGAGTAGAACGTAGCAGAAGAGCAAAAGGGAACTGTGAGGCAAGCTCCTTCCCTATCGTGAACAGCAGCTAATGCACAGAAGAAGTACTACGAGTAAAAATTGTGTTTCTCCAATTTTGAACCTCGGCAGAGGCTAACAACACTGCTCCTCTGGCAGACCACGTCCCTAATTTCTGCAGGATCTGTTTGAAGTAATTTTGCATGGACGCATGTGGCTTTTCCAACAAGTCTTAAGAAATAATACACGTGCTCTTAAACAACCACTGTTTTTGCTGTGGAGATCACTGAGATAAGACAAAAAATTCTTATATTTGCTTTGCAACTAAGGCACAGTTTCGCAAATTAAGCAGAGCACCTTGAAAAAGAGAGCACACCTAGAATTTTAGGGCAACTGTCACAAAAAAAAACCTCTTTTTTTCCTTAACTGCAATTCAAAAGGGTGCAAAAACGGGTAGAACTTGAACAACACCATATTTGACGCTCCTCCCTCTTTCACATCTTTATGCTGCTTACCATACCACTAATGAAAAACGCTGTGTCTAAGTAATTACGAACCAGTTTTTGCAGCTCTATGTCAGTATAGTTCATGTGAAATCGCCCGTTGAGCGCTCGCAACATCGCAGCACCACCGCGAAAGCATGGTAGTTGAGACCCTGCAAAACAAGGATTGACAGAACAAACGGTGCAGAGAAAAATTTGTTAATTTACCTTACCTTTTGACATTATTTGTACTACTGTCATCACTCGCTCGTGATGCTTCCTAGCTGCAATAATTCCACGCAACAACAGTGTTTTGAAATAAAAATACAGATCCGAATCGATACCGCCCATGACACTAACTAAAAAGAAGCAGATCCAACGGCGGTTTTATTACAACACAAACAAACTTACTAAGTTCAGAAGTGAGCTTGAATGGGGATGTCTCAAACCCAAGATTTTTTGGAGATATGGAGAGTATGAAGCCAAAGTCAATGTGGATGAGATGACCGACGGCATCAATGAGAATGTTACCATTGTGCCTAAAAAAGATGTTGACAAACTGCGCAAAATTTGACTGCACTCAGCTCCTGGAAAGGCAGTAAACATTTCCAGAAACTTGAACGTCGCTAAAAGACAACTATGCTTTGTCAACTACGCTTCCGATGCGACCTTTCCAGACAAGAATGGGACTTCAAACTCCAATCAATCAAGGGTGGTCCAACACACACCTTAAAAAACTTGGGAAAATGGAAGCTAAATAGAAAATTTCCAGTTAAATCGGACAATCCGCACAGCATGTATATATATACAATTTATAGTTGGAACCGAATATTTGTATGGGACTATGTATGGGACTACTGGATTTATTCAACTATTTGAATAGTCGAATATTCGGAAAAGTCCGAATTCGATTATTCGAATAGTCGAATAAATGAAAAAGATCTTTATTCGAATAATTCGTTCATTCGACAATTCGGAAAAATGACTTATTCGAATAATCGAATATTCGCGAATTTTGAAAAACAGCTGTTCAAATATTCGAGTATTCGAGAAGTTTTGAATACCGTTGTTCAAATACTCGACTATTCGACTATTGCGTTTGAATATTCGAATATTGCATTCGCATATTCGATGGAATTCGGTTATTCGATTATTCGAATAGTCGAATATTCGACCATGTTCAGTTACTCGAATATTCGTTCATTCGAATTTTGGAATGTAACCATATTCGAATATATTCGAATTCGAATAATATAAAAATCAATAATAAATCAATACAATCGAATAATATTCGTTCATTGGAAAAATTTTCGAAAACCATTTATTCGATATTCATTCGTTCGAAAATTTAAAATTCAATTATTCGATATTCGTTCAGTCGATTAAAATTTCCGTTCGTTACAACTAAATACAACTGATGCAAGCAGTAAGCTAGTGCCTCTGAATGATGATACGATTTCTGCGAGAGTAGGAGGTGTTGAATATACAAAGAAGATAGCTTTCCAAATTGCATAAACATTAAACTGCGTACTATAGGTGCGCGCGTTTGAACGCTAACCTCACGTCTTCTACAACCCTCTCTTTCTTGATACTCCAAACGCTCTTGGTTATGCGACTGTACTAAATAAATTACGGTACTACAATCAAATCTTGAAATCTTGTACTGACATCTCGGCAATCGCAGCTTCCGTGATGACAGCAGAACAGCTCATATTTTCACAAGGGAACCCCCAAAATTTCATTCTTCTTTGCATGAAAAAGCAATCTTTTACATGATACTTAAAACACTGCAATTAACAGGGCTCAGCTGGCGCACCTGATGTGAAACTGGAAAATCTGTGAACTGCAAGAAAATGGGGTTGTTTCGACATTCCAAAACATATCAGTCGAACCTTTGACTATGTAAGCAATCTGTACCATTGCCGTCTTTGCTGAATGATTATCTCAATATGGAGCCAGTGTGTTTACAAATATCCCTTCTCTAAAGTAATGCGAACAAAGTGTCATAAACAAGGAAAAAATCATGAGGTCAAGCACAATGTCGGTCAGGCTCGCAAGGGCTTGAAGTGTGAAGGTCGTAGTCCTGCTCTATCTCACTCAAACTAATGAGGGAAGCTCAGTGTAGATCCTTACCTGTCTTTCACCTGTAGAAAGTAGCAAACGAGAGAGTAGGCGGCGCAACTATGTACAAAGTTCTGCTGTGCCCTAAAAATTTGGAGAATATGATTTTACCTACATTATGAAGACAGAAAACTTGCTGAAGATATGTTGAGGAGCCTTTTGGTCCAAAAGTTTCAACAAAATGAGCCTCCAAAGACGGCTCATCGGTTTTCCCTTCCTCACGGTAGAGAGCGCTCTGATTACGTTTGATCTGAAATACCAGAAAATGTAGAAGTAAACTTAGTAAATTTTGGAGCTCTTGAGATGTAAGGTACAGACTTTTTCCGATTTTCGACTATTTCCCAAAAGAAAAACAAAGTACAAAGCCACGAGGCACCTCTCAAAAGCAAGGCTTTGCATCAGAACTACAGCTGAATGCTACGCAATAAAAAGACTTTGATGCTTTCCTGCCTGGGCACATAACTTGTAAAAATCTATAAAACGCTGGCCATAAAAAAAAACTCGCCTGGTGTAATGAGCAGGCGTCCAGGATTGGCTCGATCATTCCAGAATCCGGTGAGGTGACGACTATTCTATATGGCCGTAAGTATAATGGCACATCTTCCTCCTCCCAGATTTCCTAACGGCAAATCGTCATACAAATCTGATGCATTTCCATTCAACTACATACCTTCAAAGTTACCAAAAGTTGATAAGCCAATAACTCCTGCAACAGGTCATCGCCGCTCTTGACAATCACAGGAAGAAGATCCCAATTTGGTAGCCGTCCGTATGGACTCGCCTTAAAAAGTGAGTATAGTGTTCGTATCAAATGACCATTGTCAAGTGTATACATAAGACTCTGTAAGAAGGAACATGTTCAGCAACAAAATCAAAACAAAAACAGTCGGTAAACGACGCGGAAGAAGACGCATCACGCAATAAAAGCTTACTTAGTTCGTGTCTGCTCCACCAAAAGCATGTGCGATGGTAAATTATACTAAGAATACCTGGCGGATACGTTCTTTCTTCTCATCCCAAGGCTCGCTCATTGTTGAAGCTGATGGGTCGTCCGGATAAGAACGCATCTGTAAAAATTTCGTGGAAGGTTACCAAGCACTTTGAATCCTCCCGCAATGGGTAGCTATTTTTTGGAGAGTATTTACATGGGTTACAAATATGCCTACGCTAAATGCAGACTTCAATTAATCAAAAAGAAATTTTGATTTCAAAAACTCCAATTACCCTAATTTCACGCGTACAAGGCGCGGGGTGGTCCTAGCTTTCATCGACCAGCCCGAACACGGCAAAGGACTTCGCAACCAAAGGGACCCCATACCGTGCTGCGTTTTGCCTGACGAATCGTGCGGCATAAGGATCGCTTCTCAAAACACGTTGGGGCGGCTGAGCAGCTCGATGAAAGCTAGGACCACCCCGCGCCTTGTACGCGTGAAATTAGGGTAGCAATGTAAGAGGAATTTCCGGAGCGTGGCTGCCGCCAAAGGCCGCTAAAATATTAAGAAGCAACCCACAAAATTTTCGAAGGCGTGATCAAGCCATCCCCATCACAATTTCCGCTCTCCCTCCCCCCCCCCCCCCCCTCCCTTTACAGTGTTTCGGACCGCCACTGCTTCAAACCAAATAATACAGTAAAGGCAGTTCTAATAAAAATCAGCTACAGTATCTTATTTGATGACGAAAATTCTACTACTTTTGGGATATTTTGTGGGCAAGTTTTGACTCTCATTGGAGTCAAACCATTTTAGATGTTCTACCGTGAATATAACGTTAAAGCGGCTGTCGGTTTGTTTTGTACTGCAAATCTAAGCTTCGACCTACAATAAGGTACGAATTCGCAAAAGCTTGAAACAAGAGAGTAAGGTAATCAAACAATGTTACGTTTTTTGAGAACCGTTTATGACACACATCAAAATGGATAGGCCGCTAGCTTCAGCGTGTCCTAATAAATGAAATTTATGCGTAAAAGTGGAAAATCCCATTGCGTAAAATATATTCACATACTTGACGTCTGCGTCCAGGCCTTTTCACCCACTGCCTCAGTCGATAACTGATCCCAGAGGCACCTCGCATAACCGGTTCGGAAGCACAACTTTCGATAGACATCGTGTCCCAAGGAGATTCTGCAGCTTCGATACCAACATCCTCGGCCATCTTCGAAATGAGCACTTTGAAACGACTTCACTTCGCAAGATTAAGCATGTTACCGAATCATCCGTGGGTTGAAAATCAGATGTAGTGGGTGTTCCGGGAGATGAATCCGCTGACTTCATCAAAGCATCGTCCAGCGATGCTACTGAGGAGCTGCTGTAATCGCTGGAAAAAGACAAAATGCCTTCCCGTTGTCATATACTGAAGATTTTAGCAGAAAACTATAACACTGTAGCTTTAGGTGATATGTAGCAATAAAAAAGCATACTGTAGTGGCAGCTGCGGATAATCTTCGCCTGCGACAGGTCGCTTAGGTAGCCGCACCTTCTTTACATCCGAGCACCGCAACACTTCAACGAAGATACAGTAGGGAGCCTATCAAATACCACAGTTAGAGATTCATCAAAACTACAATTCTAACCTTATCTTTGCTATTGAGCACACAGCTGTTAGTAGGTGGAATATTCAAAACAACATGACCTTCGGAGAGAGGTATCCACACTCTAGCAGGAAGATGCATGTTCAAGACAAGCAGCTCACTAACCAGACGACGGGTCTGAAATTCGCAAACTGGTGGTGAAAGAGAATACTTCGAAGAAGCCCAGCTCAAAAAGATAAGCATAACACTCGTGAACGACCCAACCACGTATCGCAGACAAGGATTGTAAAATGAATCAGCTCGTCTGTATCGGTATGTTGCTGTACGTTTTTGTTTCATGATTGTGGCTTTATGCACCCAAATCCAGCAAAACTTGGAAAAATTGAGGACGCAACAGAAACTCCTTCGAATATAAAGGATTACTGCCGTTTTATGTTCCGGAGAAAATAAAATTTTAGAAGCTTTCAAGATAAAGTGCTTGGAATTTTGATGCCGGGATGATAAGAAAAAGGCATTCATAGTGGTTTGACATTTGCACATTCTATAGTAATCGCAACAACCACTTCAATGTCATTGAGGCTTTGAACAAAAAAAGAAATAGTCTGAAGATGCAGTGTGTACCAGTAACTCACTGACTGGATATATCTGCAGCCCCGAACAGAACATACTTTTTCACCCTTAGTTGGCTCCTCCTTGAGGTTGTTCCCTATGCGAACAAGCCAATTCACAAAGCCTTTCTGCGCGTCCATACCGCTGGCCTTAAAAACAGATTTGATATAAACACGTGACATGGGCGCAGCTGAAGATCGGCTTAGGATTCTTACCATTTCTAAAACTTTTTTGTATCGAAAGTACAAATGGAATTTTCAATGCTGAGCATGAATGCTGTAAATACGCCAACTGGTTGGTAAAGTCATTCAGTGAATCGCCCATGAGAAGAGAAGACACCAGGCATATAGATAAACAGCTAAAGGCCTGGACATACTTCCGTAATTTCAGTCGGCAAGATCAGCAGTTTGCCGGATGTCTCAAATTCATCAGTGGTAAGGCATATATATAGCGTATATATTTTTCGCAGACTAGTGTTCTATCTACCGCGCATTCAGCGTATGCTCACGAACAGTTATAAACAATTCGAATGCTGCCAAATGCGCTGCGTGTAATCGCGTGAAGTATGCACGGGATCTTAAAAGAACTCCACTACTTCTTCTACTAAACTACTCCTTGTTTCATGAATGATGTCAGAGAAAGGGAACCGAAAGCCAAACTGCCGAAACACCACTCAAAGAGTATCTAGAACAGTACCTACCTCACATGTGCACTCCACCGCGTCTTCGTCTTCAAAGCAGTGGCAATCCGAATTGAGGCTCAGGTCTGAAGGATCATAGATCTATTCGAAACCACTTTACTCTGTGATTGCAGTCAACATGTTATAAACTGAGATGGGAAATCGTCCCCCTAATGGGGGTCATGACAACTACGCTAACCCACCCCATTAACCACTCGCTTTGATTAAATAACCACTTTTGGACAGCAGTGGAGTAAACCGGTGATACTAGATTTATGACTGAAGAAAGAGAAAAACGGCGAAAATACTTTGCAGTGAAAAAAGAGTAATGCAGATATATCCACTGGAAGTAAGAACGGCAGTTGATGGCATCCTCGAAAGTCTTTCACGGCAAAAGAGGCGCTATCACGCTGTTTTTGTGAGCAATATCAAAGACAAAAACCAAAGAATGATCCACAGTCAACACAGAGGCACTTCTTGCAAAAAGGTTTGCCGCAACTAACAATTGCGATCAAGTCGCCTTGAACAAAAATACAACGACAAGTGCTGCATTGCGGCTTGATAATTTTCTTCTCGTTGTTGCAAAACAGTAAAAAGCTGCTGCACAAACAACATAGAAAGGCTTTACCAGAAGCTGATATAGTTAGCTGCAGGTAAAACAATTTTAGTACATCTGCTAAAATTCTGGTATGCTGCTTGAGCTATCCGTGTAGTGTAGGGTGTGTGGGAGGATCGCTTCAAACGTTTTAGATTCTTTCAAGCTGTGGAAGGACGACGATGCCAAGTACTAGTCAAAATAAGTGAAATAAATATGTCTGCTATTCTGATTATACCGCCTTGTCTGCTGAAAATTGAATTAGTCTAGGATAGGATAAGCAGACAATTCAACAACAATCGAGTTCACTGTATCCCATTCACTATATGTAGACGTTCAAAACATGTTTGAATAGGAGCTTTCATGACACAACAAATTTCAAAGGGGGGATTCGGCACACTTGATACAAGCCATTTTGTAGAATCCACAAGTAAGGCTGTTACAGAGAAAGAAGATTGTAATTCACATCACAAATGGACGAGGGCCGTCCACCTCAAACTCGAACACTACCATTCCCTCGCTATCTATCAATAACCAAATGAGTAGAGACGTGAAAATCATAAAGACATGCTTTCGTCACCTCCACTCAGGGTAGCCGGAGACAGAAATCTTAACGACGTCGTAGCACTTTCGCTTCGAGTTAGCTGCAACCCGGAGCTAAGATTTTCAGGGTTCACTAAATTGAGAGCAAAAGGTGGCCGTCCGAAAGCAAAGCAAGAAAGGTTGAAACGTACGTAAAGATCCATTCGCTAGACATCCTGGCCGATCATTGATAGAGGTCCACTTCTTCAAAGAACATATTGGCTGCGGTGGTTTGAACTCGTTCAGAATCATCCGGCTGAATGCCATTGCATAAGACAATCTAGTAATGTTCGGTGAAAATATTGGTTAAACAGGACATTTCTACATCAGTAGCGTCTAGGAAACCAAATATAAGATAAAACCGGAGAATCACATGGAAAAGTTACGCACCGCAAAATATCTCCATGTGCAAGATCTCGATCCTTGATTCGCAACCTATCAACGCCTAACGATTCAAGTAACCACACGCATATTAAAGCAAAATGCAGGCTTCCTTTGCATCTAAAAAAGTCAAAATTCAAACACCAACGCTCAATATGTAAAGAAAGTTGAAGCGTCAATATTCGTACATATCATATGAATATTTACCGTTCTTCAATGTAATTATGAATGGCACTAGCGACCTCTTTATCATTTATGTACAGATTGATGAGTTGAGGAATGAAGAAGTCCACACGAGAATGATGGAATGAAAATAACTTTTTCCCTGAAACAACTAATCCACTTGCAACCCGAAAAGTGCAAAGAGTAAAAATGACCTAAGTATTGTTTTGCTCCTTTTTCTGTACAGGAATATAGATACTTCATAGCGATGGCTGGAGAAAAATGAGATGATTCAAACAGCCTCATAAGCAAGCTCGGTGGTTCTACTAACGGGCACTAAAGTAAAGCACAGAAGTTGACGGTACAGTGCAGCAAAATACTCATAACTTTCTCACCGTAGTAGGCAAACAATCACTATCCTCCACATGCACATCTTCTGCAGGTTTTTGCTCTTGCCCATCACTGGGGACCTCAACCTCGTCACAATTCGGCACGTACTGCAAATGAGTACACATTCGTCAATAACAGTAAGCTTTCCTGCTGAGTAACTATGCAAGATTCATAGTTCCTATAATGAACTGGGATGCATATGACTGAGTTTGGCTTTACGTTCGTGCATATTAGCTGCATCGCTTCTATCGAGATGCATACAAAAAAGTCCTGAGTACAGTTCAGATGCTATTCCTAGTAGATTAGTATGTCAAACGGATGAGTGGGTTATGAATTGCTACATCAGATGTCAACGTTTTTCAAAAATAAGGTACAAAAACAACCCGCTCGCATAGATCGTGTTAAAGGTGCGCGTTCCGATTTGTCACGATCGGGTTAGTTGGCCATACTGCACGCGATTACAGTCGCGACGCGATTTGGCAATACTTCAATTGTTCGTAACTCATCGTGCGCATTCTAGATGTGCAGAGGATAGGGATTTCATCAATTTACAAAGGTTGTATGTTCTATGCATTTGCGGTCTCCCATTGTTGGATTTAAAGATATTTGGCAACTAGCCAGAAAACTGGAATCGCGTGAGGTATGGCCAAGGCCTGAGACCTGGATATGCAGAATTTTTTATTTTGAAGCTGCACAGGCGTTCTGACCTTTGTAACTTTCCTGCTGCCTTTAACACATTCACGACAACACGACCCACCGGTGGGTCGTACGTGTCCTGCCATTTCGGACAATACGGCCCACCGGTGGGTCGTATGCCTTCTGAAGTTTTTGATTTTGCTAGTTCACGGTGAAAGTTTTTAGGCAAACCGAGTAAACTTCTGCATACACTTCTCTGAGTACTTCCTAGGAGATTAACACTTAAGACCACAAGACCCTTCAGTGACCTGAAAATATCACGCAAACTCAATTTCGCAACATATGCTCTGGTCCGAAATGGCAGTCATCGAAAAATCGGCTCTGTCGTGAATGTGTTAAAGGCAGTAGGTCGGCAGAACGAGACCCGTGGCAAAACAAGGTCACAGGGTAGGAGCCCCCATATGGAACCTGTCGGCCAAAGTCCGATCTTTCTCTGCCACTTCTAACCCCCGAAATTTCAAAGCGAAAGCAGCGCTCATTTCCTGTCCTCTCCGAACCCGCCCACCCCATGGACGAGTGAACGCGAAGCCCGTCATGGCGAAGACGCAGAGTCGTTGCGGGACCCCATGCTTATAGCATTGCGGCTGGCGCTCTGACCGCGGAAATCACTCGTCCATGGGGTGGGCGGGTTCGGAGAGGACAGGAGATGAGCGCTGCTTTCGCTTTGAAATTTCGGGGGTTAGAAGTGGCAGAGAAAGATCGGACTTTGGCCGATAGGTTCCATATGGGGGCTCCTACCCTGTGACCTTGTTTTGTCACGGGTCTCATTCTGCCGATGTACTGCCTTTAAAGGCAGTGTCCCCGCAGACTTTGCAATTGCGCCTTTTATGCTTTGGGCTTTAGGCTTTTAGCCCGAATTTGGGCTCTAAACCGGATGCAAGGATCATACCATTTTTGGGGCGTTTATCCAATTTCCAAAAAGCAGCTCGAAGCTCCGCTACAATACTATCATCACTTTATCGACGAAAATGGGTACTCAAGGCAACAATACTACTTCAATGTCAAAATAGCCACTTCGGTCAACAAGCTATGCAGATCAAGCTCCAGTATCTAGGAGAGGATGATGTTTTTCGACTACGTCCTCGGTCTACAATAACTGGACAAAAAAAAAACGTCGCGATGCTTTCGATATAAAACGTACTGAGGAAGAACCTAGCCGAGCAAACCTATCGCACGTAGATCGTCGCTCGAAATGTGAATGTGGGAAAATCCCACATTTGAAAACCCCCTCATTAGTATGTATAACCAAAACAGCAAGTCAGTAATTCGAGTTTATTGAATGCAGATAACAAACGCTGCATCTATTTGAATGGGACAAGGGGGCGGAATGCAGACTTGTTCACGATAAGAAAAACATCCTCCCTTCACGTTAAATTCTCAGCTGGTCTTATTATAAGCCCTACATTCTTTTGCACACCTGGGCACATTCAGACAAAATATTGATTTGACTGAGGAACCCTAAAAGAAAATGATACAAAAGCAGCTTGCAGAACTCAACTGATAAGGAAATTCCAAAGAAACTAACCACTTCGTCCGTTTGAGGTTGTATAGCCTGCACGGGTAGTTTTGGAAAAGACTGAATCAAAATACATTTTACTTAGAGAAACACATCAGCGACTCACAAAGACAATATGAACACTCACAACAAATTCGTCTGGTCCGACGTATGCATTAGAAAGTGTGAAAGATGAATCTGGAAAGAAACAATTCAAAATGATTGATATACTATCTTAGCAAGAAGAGATAAACGAGCGCAGCTTACTTGAAGGAGAGGGACTGAGAGTAGCAGAACCGTTTGACATATTGCGTCGATGACGTTCTTCAGCTCTCGATATAGCAAAAGACTGATTCAGTGTGCACCTTGAATAGCCACAGTGATAAGCACGCTCTTGGAAAGTCAAAATGACACGCTAAAAAACAAACTAACTTTGAACATAAACCAGTGGATGAATGCTGGCACTCAGGAGACAGCGAAAATGAATCCATTACATAGACCCATCAAAGGTATATAATTGCTGTGTGGCGAGAAGTGCGATGACTCAAAAGATTCTGATTGAAATAAGCAGATCATTGCTTCAAAAAAGTGACCGTGCGACATAAAAACCACGTCATCAGCGAGATAAAGCAATTCTACAAGAAGTGTCGGGAAATACACAATCTGTACGGATCTTACTACAGAAACATCGAAGGAGATACAAGAACAATTCACTTAACTTTGAGAAAATATATTTTTTGTCCAATTACTAACCGAATCACAGTTTGCAAGGCAGTGAAATACTGATTGGAGCGCGCTTTCGCTCCAACTTGATGGTGCGTTTGAGCTTACTAATTTTCCCTTTGTTCAGAGCATTTCTTTGAAGGAAGTACCTTCGAATTTGGAGTTAAAGGGAACACTCCATAGCAGAATTTTTTCAAATATATCATATGGTCGCAAAACAGTTCGTGAGTGCCCAATTCCTGTGATTGCGCATCCCGACACAGAGCCATGAATCGCCCTATCTGGCAATTTTTTATTCACTGACAAAGACATTTTGGAATGCCTTTCAGAAAATGTTTTAATGTCTTGGTCTTTACCAATGGCTTACTCCAGTAGTAGCACTCCCATGTTCAGATAAAAAGGCGTTCATTGGCGACTTGTTCCATACGGCTTGTGTTCAGTCACATCCCTCATTTACTTTTTTTTCATTCATTCAAATTTTATTTTTTCCCATAACTGTCACGCAACAAGACCAAGAAGGGGTTTTATAACTGTCTCAAAGAACGAAATGTCTGGCTTTATTTTCTCAGGGTATATCGATTTTGTAAATCTCCTGCACAATTGTAAAATCTCTTTCTTGTTTTTCGACCAAGTGCATCCAAGCTGGAATGAAATTCTTGGTTGTCGGGTCCATGCGCAAGAGTTGTGAGGATGAGGCTTTGAAATTTAGAAACTTCCCCAGTTTTTTGAATACGAAGGAACATTTTAATTCATAAAGTATCGCATCTTTTCGCCTTCTCATAACCACATTTGATCAGAAAAATGTGGGGAAAAAGCTGACTTGCAATTTGCGATGCTAAAATGGATGTGTAAGAGCGCTAGAAACTGCTACAAAACGCCCCTCAAAACTCTAATTTTGGGTTTGTGCAAATAAGATGCTGGCATAAACCTCGACTTTCCACCTCCGATAACCGCTAAGCTATTGAGTTTCAGTTTGTGGTGAGGTTTCATGGCGTGGTCAGATACGCTCCACAATGTTGGAATAGTGGGATGAAACCCATTGTTAAGTCTAAATACCAATAAAGCTCTTGACACAACAGCAAAGAAGTGTGCTGTTCACGTTATTTTTTTTCAGTGTAGAAGCTTTCTTATTTCTCCTTACATTATCCCCGTAACATAACTTTTCAGTTTCCCTTGAAGAAATATTTTTTACTGCTTTACCATCTCATCACAGAATTGGGTAGAAGTCAATAAAGTTTGCTTCATTTTATGTGTAGGAACGAGCAAAAATCTTGGTGTAGGACAGGAGAACAAGGACTTTAAATGTCCTGTTCAAAGGTTTTTAGAGAAGCATTAGGGATGGATGCTACTTCATGAAAATGCCTGGTTTGGTACGCAGTGCACTTTATAATAAGTAAAGTTTGCGTGACAATCGGACAGAGCAGTGGCGGGAAGAGGACGATAAAAAATCGGCAATTTGCTGTTTGGGATGCTTCCCAAACAGCAAATTGTTGTTTGGGAATGCTGCTGGGAATGCTGCTGCTGTTTGGGAATTTGCCCAAAGTTCTAGGAAAAAGTTCGCAATGCTAGTTTAAATCTTCAAAAAAATTCCAAAAATCATTACAAGTATTCACAAGAAATAATGAGTGCCTTGTAGCTATCGCATAAAAAATACATTTAGACTTTTAAGTGTATATTTCGAGTTCTGTCTTGAAGTCGTCAGTTAATTTCAATCGGATTTAGGCCGAAACGTTCCATGTGCACTTGATCGTGCTTCGCTGAAGGTTCTCATTTTGTCCGTTCAGGACAAATGCCTATACAAACTACAGCAACTGCTTCAAAGTTTAGTTTGTCTCGTAGATGATATATGAGAGACTGTAGTGCAGTTTCTGTGACTCCGCTCTTTCATTAACTTCCGAAATAGTATTGTCTTCTGTGACTCCGCTATTTTTGACTTCCGAAATAATATTGTCGTCTGCCTTTGAACGAAAAAGAAGAAGATATATTGTAAAAGGTCTTTGTTTCAAGAGTTGCTATGTAGATGGGTGTGAAATTCAGAAAGAATTGTTTTGAAGCGTGAAAGCCAAAATCTGATGCCATTTCTCGCTAAACCGACAACTCCTCATCTATTAGGTAAAGAAAGTTCCCGGGCACTTGCGAAAATTTTTTTTAAATGGCTGTAACTTCAAGCAGATCGATTCCTTTTTGAAGCTGCGAACTTCATTGCAAAGACAATCTTGTCCACAACATATATTTGTCTTGCTTGCTTTTCAGCACCTCACTGCGGTCCACCAGCATGCGCAGAACGGAAAAAGGTCGACCCGAAAAGTGGTCTATTTGTGCAGGATTATCTCAGGCAGGATGAGAGTTGGAAAGCCCCGATGCTGTAGTTATATAATGGTCCTCTGGGGCTGTTATGGGGACCATTCACATTTTTGAAGGACCAGCTGCAAAAGATTTTTTCCCAGAATTTTGAAAATCGGCCATTTTTTGCCCCTAAACATGTACCATTTTTCGAGTAAGCGACTTTGCAGTCTTGTCGTTCTGTATAGAGTGACCAAATCTTTGATTACTGCGAACATTGTTGGGGTGATGCCTTACACATCTTTTGGACCCGTCATCCAGGCGTGACGATCCCCGCAGAAGCGACGCCAGCTGCGAAAAAAGTTGCAGTCAAAGGCAAGTTCGACAGCTTGTAATTTCTGAACGCAAATCTCAAAATTCGAGTGCAGTTGCAGGTCAGAAGTCAACAGCCTTCTCACTCAGATCACCTATGATTTGGACGAAATTCTCTGAAGTGCACAAAAAATGGCCGTAGAAAGAAAAATTGTGTATTTGTAGTTGAAAAGATTTCTCTTGTTGATGTGCAGATCAACCACGTCTTGGCATCGATAAAAGTCAGAAAGCGTATTGTAACTTCAGGCTTCCCTCGACTAAATGGTGTAAAGAACTTGTTGTCAAAGTCCGACCGAGTGCCGAAAAAATGCGTTTGAAAATGAAATTTTCAAAAGTGCTCGGGAAATTTCTTTACAACCTAATACTTTCCTCAAGAGAAGTTTTTGATTTACAACACGATCCATCAAATCGTCCCTCAGTTCTACCATTTCAGATCAACTTTTTATTGTGTGAAATCAGGGCTCAGCACAGCTGGCACCGGGTCAAGCTAGATATCGTTTTTAGCGCGGAAAGCAAAAAGGATATCGTTTCTACAGGGGCCGAGGCGGAGAACTGCCGCAAAAATGCCGCCGGCATGCCACCGGCATGCCATTGGCAAGCTGTCCATCAACAAACAAAGGCGTTGTTTTCAGCTAAAACGCAATAGTATGACACCAAATTTGGTGTGTGCATGCGCGTTGATGGACCGGAACTATGGGCCAAAAATTTATGAAAACTTATGTGAATGAAAGCTGTGCCGAACTTTTTTCTGAATTAGCTGGCACCGTGCCAGCTGGGTGCCAGCTGAGCTGGCACCGACATTTTGCTCACATAAGTTTTCATACTTTTTTACATAAAATGTATCTACACTGTAAAAGATTACATACGGAGAAGAAACAGTTTCATAATGTTCTATTTTCAGCGTTTTATAGCAATTTGAAAACCACTTGCTCCGCTCCGCCGTCGAAAAATCGGCTTTTTCTGCTTCTCAAGATGTGATTCGACCACTTAAAAAGCTCAGAAAGCTGTGAAAAGTTCTTTCATGAAATCAGAAATGCATAAAAACACTACTACATTTTTTACATGATATAAAAATGATGACGGGTTTTCAAAACAGGTCAAAAGGGACTTCGTACGAAATTTTCAATATCAAACGGGACTTCGTTTTGAAATTTCCCTGGTGCCAGCTCGTGCCGAGCCCTGTGTGAAATTCACGACCCATCGTTGGATTGCATCTTTCTAAATAATGATCTTGAGGGATTAGAAAACATGCAAAAGCTTGGTTAGATGAGATACATAAGGTGTTGTTTGTAAAAATTACAGTCGTTCTAAGTGCTGACGTTGACTGGGACATGTAATTCGGAAGTTGAGAGGTCAGTCTCAGGATTATCATATATCTGGTTTATGGTAGCCCAGTATCGGAACACGTCATCGAGTTTCTTGTTTTCATATTATACACACTTTCATATTTGCTTTCATAGTTCCAAACAGCTTGTTAAAGAGTTGGGTTCGCGGCGCAACGTGAAAAAGCCTAACTACGATTGAACATCCTTTGTTGGGAAAATAAATTATCGCTGGCATACACATAGATTTGATGCAGACTTCGACTAACCACGATTCGCTAATTGATTTTGGAGATGAAAAACCTCTAAAATAATTTAGAGTTCCACGCTAGAGAAAAGAAAATACCAGTTTCCGGTTACGGTTAAAATCGAGCTCTACACAAATAAATGGGGACCATTATGTGCATCCAAAGATTTGTTATATCTTTATGTCTGATTTTGGGTAACATCAGCTCAGTGCAATTTTTAAGCCAACATTCAGCCCGTGCATGTCTTGTAAACTCCTCTTTTCTGTGCTGAATTTGATTGGGGCGTAACTTTGGAGGAACGTCTGGATAATGTGCACACTACGTGAAGGAAATCTGTTTCTCAAGACGAGATTTAGTATGTTTTTTTATTAGGTACATGGAATGGTCTGCTTACATCAAACCAAGTTGTGAGAAACCAGAGATGCGAGCACAATTTCAATCTCGCTGTAAATAACAACTTAATATACTTCTTCAAAATCTCCGGAAAGCAGATTTCCATGCCGTTGGTGAACGATTGTCGAACGGAGGGCCGAAGAATTCAAGCTCTGTTGTTGCATTATTCTCCGATAGTACCGTGCTCAGTGCTGAATTTACGGATAGGGTACCGAAAGATTAGAACTCGAAGATTCTTACGGAATGGAATGACATTTGCCTTTGGACTTTCTCCATTCACTTCCATTGTTTGTGTGGTATCAGGCGTGTCATTCTGTTCTTCTATGAACGTGTTTATGGCATTCTCGAAGCCCTCGTTTGAGAAGCATGGTTGTGTCTGAACAGTTTATACAATGGATTTATTTTACTCCTAAGTCACATACCTGTACTTTTTCCAAGCAATCGCTACAAAGCCGTTCACGTCTGCGTACACTAGTTTTTTGATCGCAGTTGGTCCATTCAGACCATTCTGATTCTACGGACCCTACACCATGTGGAAGACCTAGGAAAAAACGCTCAAAATCTTAGCTGTCTAGCCTAGGAGCCTAGAATATTTTTTGCTGTTGAGATTATATAATTTAAGCGTGGAGCGCATTTTGTAGGGTCAAAATAATGAGACGCGGAACGCCATGCTTTCGAGGAATTCACAGAGCTAAGGTTTTAACAATGTAAAATTATGAGGTTTCGTTAACAAAAAAAATTGATTGAGGAATCGGCAGGAATGTAATGAATGTATTTAATACAGTCTGAAATGGTGATCCAAGACGTCTTTCCCGTTACTCAAGCGTTTGACCAAAAAGTTATGTTTTTTCCTTGTATGCATATGTGAATAAATGATATATGAAAGAAGAGGAGACGCAAGGATGTCTGCTTTCACCAAAAACTTACCCCAGCTCTTTTTCTCAATCCCTTTATTGTCAACTATCATGCTTCGACTTCTCCCATTAACAGCACTTGCATGACCTTGAATATTAAACGATTTCCTTCTGCAAGTCGCGTAAATGGCCAAAGAAATAAAAATACCTTGGCCAGTCTTTTTTGCACATTCAGGTAGCTGTACATAGTCAACCTTGTCATCTAATTCAGGGACGAAATATTCTGGCCTTGTTAGCCTCGTCTGGACATTCAGTATACAGTTTGAAATTGGAACATCCGCATAATGCAGAAGCGAGTGACATTCAATATTTCTCTTGACCTAAAGCATGTATTGTAAGACAATATTGCAAACTTTTGCAGTAAGTAACAAAGTAGTGAACTCATAAAGCACGGCGAATACTGATGTTATTGTTGCGTTTTGTTTGTGAATCTCCCACATAAAATGTGATCTGTTTGTCTGTCTGTCTCTCTGTCTGTCTGTATGTCTTTCTGTACGTATGTTCCGAATAGAAAATTCCATTTTGGAACTGATTCGGACCAAGCTCGGCATACATACACTTCGGGGCGGGGCGGGTATAGTAAGCTACTTTTCGTTGTCGATCGAAATCGATTTTATCGATTTCTCAAAGTTTGACCTGCGCGACTGGGAGTTGGCATAGGGGAGGGAGGGGGGGGGGGGGCTCGAGCATGCTGATTACGAAGTGCACTGTTCCAGAGGAGAACGCTTATGTGACTGCAGTGTGTTCGTGAAAAACAATGTCCCAAATTTTAGAAGAAGGTAGGAGCGAGTGACAAAAATAATAGAAGGGGCATGAACTAGTAATGCTTACACAAGTTTGGAAAGCTTCTCAGATTTTTCGCAAATTTCAACATGGCATTTTAGAAGGGATAGTGGCTCCCAAAGTTTTGCAAAAATAAAAAATGACTCCGCCCTGTATAAAGGTTTGAACTACTTGTATAGTCTACTGCTACCGATCGAGGGCGCAAGACCCCGGGCGCGAACGCAGTTTTCTTGCAGTCTGCAATACGCAAAGTTCATAAAGATGTAGCGTCTGCGCGGCGCGTTTGCGCTGCGCCTGCGCTCAACTAGTTGCTATTGCGCCTTCCTTCGGCAGTAGACTTTAGCAAACCAGTAAACAGTAGAAAACTCATGACCGATTATATTAGGTTGAACCGAAAGTTCTGTCGCACCATTTTTAAAAAATCATAACTTCTTTGCCTCACGAGGATTTTGCGCAAATCAAATTTTGTCTGAAAGCGTAAAGCAAGTGGCTTCCAAGAGTTTCCTGAAGACTTTCCAAGGTGCTCAGGTTGCAGAGATAAAAATGAAAGAACGAGATAATTCGAAATTCGGAATTTTTAAGCAAGAATTCTAAAAATTCAGAAACTGTGCGATAAAAATTAGAAAAGCCATTATCCTAGTTTTTCTTACATTTGATTACTAACTCAGTCAAGTTTGTGCTGATCGAGGTCTTCTTTCAGAAGTTATAAATTTTTGAAAAAAAAATGCCAAAAAAGCCATTTCTTAAGAATTCTTAGGAAATTGATTTTTCGGTATTATTTTTCAAAAAATCATATCTTTTGAAAGAAGAGCTCGATCAGCACAAACTTGGCTCAGATAGTAATCAGATGTAAGAAAAACTAGGATAATGGCTTTTCTGGATTTTATCGCACTGTTTCTGAATTTCTAGAATTCTTGCTTAAAAATTCCGAATTTCGGATGTTTTCGTTCTTTCATTTTTATCTCTGCAATCTGAGCCTGCTGAAAAGTCACCAAGGGACTATTGGAAACTACATGCTTTACGCTTTCAGACAAAAATTTGAATCGCGCAAAATCATTGTGACCGAAAGAAGTTATGATTTTTTGAAAATGGTGCGACAGAACTTTCGGTTCAACCTAATATTAGGTTGTCCTGAAGGTTTTGTCCGTTTTTTTCATCGCTCACTAATACACCAGTCCATGGACGACATAGGTACCAATTAATTCTATTTTTTATCCTCTTTCTTACAGCTATATTTGCTCTCTGATCTATACTCTCTTTTCAATGTTATCGCCATGGCTTTTTGAGCAACGCAGCAGTAACGCCAAATCTTTCATCTTTCCTGAATTTTAAAATTTTTTATTCTGATGTTTCAATGAGCGCTGGCTGTTATGTAAAGCGAACCTTTTGCTACATTGTCCCCATTTTAGATTACATGGGCCATGTTTACCAAGTCCGTCCATTTAATTTTTTATTTAACAAAAAACCGCGGCTTTTTGATTACGTTTACCACGTAAAAGTACCAAAAATTCAAAAAAGCGGGTTTTTAAAGCAAATCAAAATGTGTTGCATTAATAATGTTTATTAAGAATCATGTTTTTTTCGCAGAACCTTCAGAGGCTTTCGTGCATTTGCTGCAGGTGTTTCAAGACTTTGCCAGAAATCGAGATCTCCGAAGAAGTAATTTTTTGGAGCTAAATAAGCAGATTAGGGGAATCAAAAAATATTACCTTGTAGCCCGAAAATTGCCCTATTTCACTCATACTTAACACTTTCCGAAAGTTTGAATTAAAATTTTCAAAATTTAGCATAACTTTGAGCAGATAGTATTGACGGATGGAGAAGGCAATTTATCAAAAAAAAAAGCCTACAAGACTGTGGTTCGAAAATGCACATGTAAGAAAGAGAAGTAAAAGCTGCATCGAATGCATGTTGAAACTCATTCAGGTCTTCATTGTGCGTGGTTTATAGTGTTTTGAAGAAACGAACAAAACTTTAGGGACAACCTAATATTTTTCGAGTCGGTGTATCCTGTCATAAATAATAGATGAATAATTTTTGAGTCGATCGAAATGATCTCGTCCATTGGGTTTGCGCCAATTTACGAAAGCGAGAGGGAAGAAGAAATGGGATGAAGAACACATGAGGACAGAAGCACGATGGAGAATCTGTTGCCATCAGCATCCGGCTCAGCGGTTTAATAACCCGGAGACATGTAAAAAATGCGTCGAGATTGTTCGAAAAGGAAGTCCGCTGGCAAATGTCCCCGTTCCCCGGACAGCAAAAGATTTCTCAGAAATACATTGTCTGTAAAATATCTATCTGCATAGATTTTTCTACCTTTGCCTGTATGCACTCCCGTATGCACTCTTCTTCACTCGTTGCAGTAACAATCTCGGATGCGTGACCTAGAAATGCCCTTCGTAAGTAAACCCCTCTTCATATAGATGCAGTCAGCTGCATATGAAAACGCACCAAACAGGATATGCTGAGGGATACGTCGAAAGATCTCGTCACATGATATTGGAAGCAAAAGATCTAAAATAGTTGGAAAGAATTTTGACGGCAGTGTGTGGCTTACGGACCGGAGATGCAGATTTTTTCAGTATATAAAACATCGACATTGGGTTTGTACTCCAGATATCCGTTCGGATTCACAGCATCGGGATAAAGGAAACATTTGGAAGATTGACGATCATACTGTGCAGAGCGGCAGAGTAGAGGAAGTCGTGTTGCATCGGGATACTAAAAGGTCAATTTTGGTTACGCTCACAATGACATCAAAGCTTGAACTAGAATGAAATGGATAAAGATTTATTTACACTGCTCGTCATGCAAGCGTGAACACAAGTTTCCGGTGTGTTTGTCGTGAAAGTGACCGATGCCGACGAAACTACCTGAAAGCTCGGAAAAATATTCATTTTTTTCAATCGGATACCTTCACCTCCACGCCATCTATAACCTGAACTCGTGCCTTCTCTCCTATAGGACAGTCCGGCACTATCGGAAGGATCTAAAACACTACATTCTTTTTTAATTTGCCTTGCAAGATGTAGCTTACAAGGGAAGGATACTAATATAGGTTCGCCTTTTGTGAAGAGACACATACAATTGGAATTAGCTTTGAAACACTGATTTCAAATATGCTATTCCTAGCCGCTTAGCTTTATTCTGAAACGAGTTATGGTCTCTTTTCTACGCAAAGTTTGCATGCTCCTTGACCACCGATGCTACGATGTCGACGTCTAGGTGGTTTTGCAATTGTATAATGCTCCCTTTCAAGACCGAAAGAATTAATCTGATGCTAGTTCAATATCCTACACTTTTTCCGAGCACATTCTTACCTACACGCCGTCTTACGACATTCAGAAGTTTGTTAATTACTCACAACAACAAGCCCATGACTTGCTTCGAAATAATGCTAAGCAGCTAGGAACAGCACATTTGGAATCAGCGTTCAAAGCTGCAAATCTATGTCTCCCATTACGAAAGGCGAACCTAAGTTAGTATCACCCTTGTTAGACCACGAATAAAATACCTCAACTGGTATCGCTGAAAGTGGATTTCGAGGAGGCTTCAGTTGTAGACCAAATTCGCCGCCGAAGGATTTCTCCTAGAAATTCTGTTATTAGCTCATATGTGAAGGCTCGAGTCTCAGCCTGACCTCAGACGGAATGACGTTCCCAATTACTGGAGAATTTGAGTCGTTCGGTTTTTCTGATTTTCCAAAGCACTCCTCCTTGGGAATGAGGTAAATGCTTCCAACTGATGGTTGCAAAGCGGGGGCGCATTTTTCACTGAAATGCCACAACTTGTCACTTTCACCATGTTTTGTCCGAGGATATTGTACTGCAAAGAATTGTCATGGTAACATGTAGTGCACCCACACTTACATTGTGTAATGACTTTGAACATCGCGATAGTGTCGACGCCCTGAATTTTCTTTTTTTTAGAAGAAAAGATCACCACTATAATAACTACCACTTTGGATTGGAGCCAAGCCAATTAGAGGAGGAGAAGAAAATATCTCGCAGGTTTTTCCGCCAGCATCAAATTGAGCCGTTCTGCACACTTTCGGTAGTGTTAGACAGAATTCTTCGCACTCGTTAACAGAAGATAAAGTCCTAAAGTGGAAACCTCAAAAAAATTTTCTTTTGCTTTTTCTCGATCGACGACCAAACTCCTAGAATACTGACTGGTGAACGACTTATGCATATTCAAGGCATCTCTTGTTCCATTCTAGTGTCCATCAAGTTCAGCACAAAATTCCAAGAAAAGCAGATAGCGAGCAGTTTGTTTTGTTAGAGTTAGATAATAGTGAAGCAGTCAAATAATGAGTACTCAGTCTAGAGAGATATCGAATCCATCTTTCCCTATATGACTTCCCACATTCGATAATAAATAAACAGATGAAATTCTAGAAAAAGCTGGTGTAATCTAAACGAAGTTCGCAAGTGTTTCGCAGTTTTTTTTTTAACAGAAACTTGTTAAACGAAACACCACATAACACGTTCATAAGTGAGCATTTTACAGCTTGCTTATCGAAAAAAAAGAAAAGCATGGAAACCATGCAATATACATTACCGATTTTCTGCAGGTTTTACACAGGTTACGCGGACGTTTTTGTGCGACGCAAAGCAGCCGGTGTGATCTGAAAAGGTTCAGTAACTTTGTGTAAATAGTATGCGTATCAGGGATACTATCTTTAGTACATAGTTATATACTAGCTATCACTATCACCTTATAGTAAGTTTCAACTCAGTTCAGGCGGAAATTGGACTGGCGGGAGGCCGCTTCGCAACGATTCGCGCCGCTTTGCACTCTGCGTCTCTTCATTCTAATCTATCTTGCTAAGCCAGTGGAGGTGCTGACGCGCTGCTCTACTTGGGATATTTCGCGTATTCCGGTTGAAAAAGACTGTACATGAGCTATAAAAATGTACAAGTGACTTGTTTATACTTGTAGACTATGAAAATAATTTTTGAATTTGTTTGAAAATTCAACTTAGCCTTGTAAAAAAATTTTTGGGGGCGTGGCTGCAGCCGTGGCCGCCCACTTTTTGTTGAAAATTCGGGGTTATGGGCCGCGAAATTTTAGGAAGCATACCGAAAATTCGTTCGAAGTGCGATATAGGATTGTTCATCGAGAGTTCCTGACCTTCATTCAAGGTGGAAACAAAGGTCCCTATTCGCAGTACGTTAGCGAACTTCAAAGATGTCCCAAACACAAACCATTATGGTTGAATGAAAAAAAGCAGTAACGCCGCTTCGGAACCAGATTATTGGCAACTAGCCAACTATGGCGTAGTTTCATTGCTTAGCGTGTTTTTTTGTGGTACCGAAGCAAGTGCAGAAGAAAAAACAGTTATTTCCTGTTTGGAAACAAGAACTTCTGTTCACTGACTTATACCTTTAGCGAGGTTGCATTCAGAATGCAGTTAGCTATAGCTTGTTTAGCTTCGGTCAGTCAGCATTGGTTACGAGTGCTAGAACCATGAACACTTCATTATTGTTGTACATTTTGTGAGCAACTAACGTCGACGTTTCGTTTTTTGAGGGTTTTTTACGTTTAAAGGGTAGGGTCAAAGGGGACTTCGTACAAAGTTTTTAAGATCAAAGGGGATTTCGTTTCGAGATTTCCCTGGTGCCAACTCTTGCCAATCCCTGGGACTAATGCACGCTCAGAGCAGGGCATACTTTCGATAGTCTACTGATAAAGCCTCAAAAGCGAATAATTTGTATATCTGTTCCCCCGTCTCCCCCCCCCCCCCTCCTCACAGAAAGCGAATGCTCGAGAGAAAAATATGCAAAACAAATAGCAGAGGCAAGAAACTCATGAAATAAATAAAAACGGTGCAATGAGTATGAAATCTCTCATTTGGCGGCATTTCGAATTGCAGGCTTCCGTCCCAAGATGAGGCTATGCACAACACAGGGATAACGAGGAAAAGCGACTATCTCCTTTTTGTGACTGTTTCAAGAGCAACCGTGCTGTGGAAATGGTGATTATCAAGAAGAAGATAAACGGGGAAAGAATTAGTTGTACAACGAGCTTTACTAAGCGGAATGCACGCCAAAGGCAATTTTGCTACTGATGTATTCTTCAAACTTTTATCCTCTTCTCGTAATTTCTATTTCTTGCAACGTTATCAGCATTGTTCTGCTCATAATTCTTAATGCCTTCAAGTGTTAAAGAAATGATTGCTTGCTTACTAACTCCAATAAAGAGCTATAAATAAAATCGCATTTTTCGAATCTTCTTATCAAACATCTGCGACGTTTCTACAATATGAGCAGTAGCATTATTATCGAATGCACGAGATAACGGCATGGAAAGAACTGAACTAAAGAAAATGCAAGAGATTCTCAACAGCACGATTTTTGCCAGATTTCTCTTTCAAATCAAAATTTTTGCGACTTTGTTATAGTAAAAGTAGAGATCAAGTGCTATACTATGATATACACTTTGCTAGGGCAGGATTTGGTACAACAAAGAAAGGGGCGCTAGCGCCAAATGATGTTTGGGGTAGCGTAGCGCGCAACCGTGGAGACGTAGACGAACAGAGGAGAAAGACCAGAGCCGACGGGGCATTTGGTTCTGGTTGTAGATCTCCGAGAGTTCTTAACGAGATGCAACATTATATATCATTCTGATCGTCATTATACGACTAAGAGCACTGACGCTTTGACGAGATAAGCGGGCATCTCCGTGATCGACTCTCTACGGCCGCATTTATTAACGAACCCAGCAGGTGTGCTCGATCCACTACACCGTTGTTGAAGCTTAAAGGCACCGTCCACCTTAAGTTGAGAGTGTTGAGCTTTTGGTAGCATATAATAGTAGGGCCCCCTATCAATCCAATGCCCAAGTCGCGGCGCAAAATGCCGCTTCGGAAGCGAGAAAGTAGCTTCGGTATAGCGAAGATGCACGAGGACCCCCATCCATGCCCGCCCTCCCCCATCCACGCCCGCCCATTTGTGCGCGCCCGTCCAATCCCGTTCCGCAAAGCCGGCCTGTGGGTTCTCCGAAACGCGAATTGTCGTGGTTTTCGCGCCATCTTGACTCCATATTCGGAATCAGGGACATGAGAAGGCCCTGAAACGACAAACGTGGAAGTCGAAAATCTGGGTGGACGTTGCCTTTAAGTTAGCAAATCCTGCGCAGCACTCAAAGTGAGTTCTTAACCCACGAACCGCGCACCCGCAAGGGGTTGCGGAGCCCATTGGATTTCTTGATGAATTTCCCACAGGTGCCTGGAAGAAGTTCGGTATGTCTACCTCGTATCGTACATACTCAGCAGATATGTCATACCTATGTGTTGCCCTCTCTAGAGCCCTTATGAGTCGTTTTGCTTTTACTTCCTTAGCCACATTCTGCTTGCCCATGTGCCACCCGTTACGAGCTCTGGTGCATCATGTGCCCTAATTGCCAGAACATTTTTCCGAGAAATCCCTCATGTATGAGAGAGAAGGGTAGTAGTCGATAAGCCAATATATGCAATCGAATCCTCATTCCAGCGCAAATTCTCAGCTTCATTTCTGACCGGTGAACAATCACTTCCGTATTTGTCCTTGCTTGTGACGGAGCAAATTGACATTTGCCCGATGAAACAACCACGGGCGAACATTCATAGGCATGAATTGCATGAATAACGTTGCAAGTTATCACGCGGCATTCTGCGAACAGCACATTGTTCAGTGAAAAAGCATTTTTTTGGAGAAATAGGCCAGGATTCGGCTACGAATGCGGTGGAAGAAGTGCGAACTGCAGAAACCTAATCATAGATCTTAATTATTTGAGATACTCTACTCCCAATAGTTGTGTAAACATGACAGATTCGCGGCAACTGACGACAGCCACTAGTGACACCTCGGTGGAACATTATCTAGCGTACCAAACTATAGAATATACACTGGTAAGATACATATCTAGTCAAACCAAAAAAGACATGGAAACAAGAAATCATTGTAAATTAGCAGGTTCCTATATTACATGTCGTCAAGTAGTGCATAATGTGTGCAATACGAATATAGAGCTACAAATGACTCGAATATAAGCCTAAGCAAACATATTAAATACTCCACAAACCTTGAAATGCACTAATATAAGCTAAATTGAGCAATATTATAGTGCAGCAGTAAGCGGTCATTGCCACTGATATGTGCTGATTCGAGGCTGGCCCACTTTATAGGTCGAATCCGCCAGCGATCACTGAGGATTATAAGGGCCGTACATGCTCGCACTGCGGAACATAGCCTTCATGATTATCGAGGACGCAACCCTGAAATCCCAAAATCTCATCACTGGCAGTTCTCGATACCGTGCATTCACTTTTCCGCAACTTGTGAACTAAGTGGTCTCAAGAACACGGGAAATTACCGCGTAACATTCTCTAGAAAATCAAAGGAGAAGCTCCGCATGCTTCTCCCTATTTAATGCAATTGTAAGGGCACTTGTTCAGACGTTGAAACAATTTTCTGTACCAAGTAGCAATTACAAGTTACTGGTAGCTCATCTCCATCCTCAGCGGGATGTACGTGCACAAGGGCCTTAAGGTAGCGATGTTAGAAATGAATCCCTGAAAGCAGCGTTTATCAGCCCAGCTTCAAGTACAAAACTCTTGTCATCACAAGGGGAAGCGGTATAGAATAACTGGATCTAAATGAGCAAAATCCACGAGAAAGGTCTCCAAAGCCGAAGCCTTTATCTCCTGCCCCCAACACCTCCTATGGGTGGCTGCAGCGCGTGCAACAGGGGTAGGACTATGTCTCCGAAAGGGGGTAGTCGTTATACTTGGGACCGAATCGAATGATTATACGATCATACGAATAAATCATTCGAATGCGAATGATTCGAAAAGTCGAGTATTCGAAATTTCCAGGACTCGAATATATTCGATAGTCAAATATTCGAAAATCTTCGTTTCCGAATGTTATTCGAAAGTCGAATATTCGATGGTCATCAATTCGATCATTCGAAGTCTATCGAATAGTCAAACATTCGATGAGCGCCGAATATTCGAAAATTCGGTAAAAATTGTCTATTCGAAAGTTTGATAAGCACCGAATATCAAAAATTCGATATGCATGGCGTATACGGGGCTTTCTAAAAGTATCTACACACCGCGATCGCTAATACCTCTCACGATGTCTTTTGTCAATTTTTGGGTAACATCCAGTAGGAATGGCTTCAGCCAAATGCAGCAGAAAGCGAAACACCCATATTTTTCTTATTGTGTTATCACGGAAAGAACTTCCACATATAGACCAACTTAAAAGACATCCAAAAGAACTTCCCTCAAAAAGATCTAATCTGTGTAGCAGCCTTAAGTATGCTAATTTTACTACGCACGAGTTTTCAAGCTTTTCAAATGACCACATTTTTGAAAGGCGTTACAAAACACTTATTACGGTGTACCTGACGTTAACGAGTGTCTTTATATAGCGAGTGTCTTAAGAAGTCTAATGCAACACTTTCGTCTTTTTATTCTTTTTCTTAGGGAAACGGCTCTTGATGTTTCGGAACCCTACTCAATCTTGAGGTAATTTTACAACAGTGAAAAGCGATAAATCGATTGAATAAACTGATAAATTGCTCCATACTCTAAGTTGAGTCAGCTTACAGATCTACATACTGCTGGGACCCCAGTATATCATTCCGCAATCATATAATCTTCTTTGAAATACAAAAAAATCTCTTCACAGCCGTCAGTAGCTTTTAGGTTCCCAAGTCTCTTCACGTCAACACTAAACCGTTTTTCCAAATTGTAACCTAAGAAAGTGTCTATTCTTGACACTTGCATGAAACAACTTATTCTTAGATGTTTTGACCTCTCATAGGCAGTCTCAATGACATAAATTATTCGATTAGTATTCGAAAATTGAATGATATTCGAAAATCGAATAACATTCGAGAACCCAATAATATTCGAAATTCGAATAACGAATGATATTCGATATTCGAATATTATTCGATTCGAAATTTCCATTTTCGAATCGAATATTCGAACAATAAAATTTGTTATTAATTAAATAAAACAACAAAAAATTTCGAATATTCGATAGTCGAATATTCGAAATATTCAATTTTCGAATAATATTCGATAGTCGAATATTCAAAAATTTGGATTTTCGAATATTATTCGATATTCGTAGGGTGGAGCTTTTCGGCGACATATAGTCCATTACCCCGTGCAACAGAGCTCAGCACATTCCCGGTAATGTCCGAGCGCTCTGCTGGAACACTGCCGGAACTCATACATGTGAAAAGGCGATAATGTGTTCCTACCCCCTTCACCCCAGGGTCGGAACCCAGCTGACCCCCCTTCACCCACGGCCGATGAGGAACTGGAAAAAGTGAGACTAAGAAATTAACATTTTAAGCAAAATTATAAAACTATCCACATTATTAAAATCAAATTTAGTAATATTTTAATTCATAATATCATTAATATGATCATCAAAAACCTATTTGCAGGTTCACTGAGAAGTACGTCGGAAATTTGCCGCCTATTGTCCACTTCTAGAGAACGATGAAAAAGCCTGGAGAAAAATTTAAAAAATTTACGTGTGAAGCCTTTGTGTATACACGTCAACGAAGTTATTACTCGCGTATTTGCTGAAATAATAAGTGAAATAATAAATGAACTTTGACGATCGGTGCGCAGTTGAATTGCATTCTTTTTAAGAGGTATAAATTTTCTAAGCAGATGGCGGAATCCGTGTAAAGTCATTGAATGATTCCTTGAAGAGTCATTGTTCCAACTTTTAATATCATTTCTAAACTCCGAAAGAGATCGTAACATTTGCGTAGAGAAACAGGTGCAACAGAAGCACCTATTACATCCAAGACTTTGTGTAATCAGAGTTAGTCTTACTGTCAAAATGCTATAGCTACGAGGATCGTGGAGTTCTACAATCCGCCTACTTGGACGATGATAAGGACGAGGAAGGACAGGCAGAGATGCATTTTTCTACGTTGGAGCACTATACAAGAGGAGAAGGACAATCATATATGATCATTGCGTGATTATTCTGAAAAAAATATTTGTCGAAGAAGATTGAGAAATATAAAAGATCTTAGGAGGAAAACTCAGTCATAAATAGCCTAGTCTAGTGTAGAAGTCTACTTTCCATCCGCTTTCATAAAACATACAGCTTGCCAGGAGAAAGAGGGATTTAATCCTGCCAGGAAGAGACAGTTTTAGTCATTGTTTCAAAATTGTAGAATTTTTCTATAAAAAATGGTAACTTTTTCATATAAGAAGATAGGAGAGTCTCTAAGCATACATTGAATTACTCTTGTTGAGAGCTTTCAGAAAATATATAGTTTGCCAGGATAGAATGGATTTTCCTGCAAGGTGAAGGTGATCATATTTGTTTTTCTAAAATCAAGGAAGTTTTTTTATAAACATTTATAACTTTACCATATGAAAAGCTAGAAGAGTCCTTTACACTCTGTTGGAATCCCCTCGCCGTCAGCTTTCAGAAAATATACAGCTTGCCAGGAAAAAAGAAGGTTTTCCTATCGGGTGAAAGGGGTCGTAGTCGTTTTTTCCGGAATTAAGCCATTTTTTAGCTTTAAAAAATTATAACAATTTTACATGAAAAGCTGGAAGAGAGTTTAGGTGTTAGATGAATTCCACTCGTCGTCCGCTTTCAGAAAATATATAGGTTGTTGGGAGACGGATGCAAAAAGTACGTGGTGAAAGGGGGGGGGAACATGGTATAATGGAAATTTTCCTTTCTGTACTCAAAAAGCGTCGTTTTAAGGAGCTAAAGGAACATGTCCATTATACCATGTTCCCCCCCCCCTTTCACCACGTACTTTTTGCATCCGTCTCCCAACAACCTATATATTTTCTGAAAGCGGACGACGAGTGGAATTCATCTAACACCTAAACTCTCTTCCAGCTTTTCATGTAAAATTGTTATAATTTTTTAAAGCTAAAAAATGGCTTAATTCCGGAAAAACGACTACGACCCCTTTCACCCGTCAGGAAAACCTTCTTTTTTCCTGGCAAGCTGTATATTTTCTGAAAGCTGACGGCGAGGGGATTCCAACAGAGTGTAAAGGACTCTTCTAGCTTTTCATATGGTAAAGTTATAAATGTTTATAAAAAAATTTCCTTGATTTTAGAAAAACAAATATGATCACCTTCACCTTGCAGGAAAATCCATTCTATCCTGGCAAACTATATATTTTCTGAAAGCTCTCAACAAGAGTAATTCAATGTATGCTTAGAGACTCTCCTATCCTCTTATATGAAAAAGTTACCATTTTTTATAGAAAAATTCTACAATTTCGAAACAATGACTAAAACTGTCTCTTCCTGGCAGGATTAAATCCCTCTTTCTCCTGGCAAGCTGTATGTTTTATGAAAGCGGATGGAAAGTAGACTTCTACACTAGACTAGGCTATTTATGACTGAGTTTTCCTCCTAAGATCTTTTATATTTCTCAATCTTCTTCGACAAATATTTTTTTTCAGAATAATCACGCAATGATCATATATGATTGTCCTTCTCCTCTTGTATAGTGCTCCAACGTAGAAAAATGCATCTCTGCCTGTCCTTCCTCGTCCTTATCATCGTCCAAGTAGGCGGATTGTAGAACTCCACGATCCTCGTAGCTATAGCATTTTGACAGTAAGACTAACTCTGATTACACAAAGTCTTGGATGTAATAGGTGCTTCTGTTGCACCTGTTTCTCTACGCAAATGTTACGATCTCTTTCGGAGTTTAGAAATGATATTAAAAGTTGGAACAATGACTCTTCAAGGAATCATTCAATGACTTTACACGGATTCCGCCATCTGCTTAGAAAATTTATACCTCTTAAAAAGAATGCAATTCAACTGCGCACCGATCGTCAAAGTTCATTTATTATTTCACTTATTATTTCAGCAAATACGCGAGTAATAACTTCATTGGCGTATATACACAAAGGCTTCACACGTAAATTTTTCTCCAGGCTTTTTCATCGTTCTCTAGAAGTGGACAATAGGCGGCAAATTTCCGATGTACTTCTCAGTGAGCCTGCAAGTAAGTTTTGACAATCATAATAATAATATTCAGAATCAACATGTCACTAAATTTGATTTTAATGATGCCGATAGTTTTATAATTTTGCTTAGAATGTTGATTTCTTAGTCTCACTTATTCCAGTTTTTCTTCTTCGAATTTCAGCGGATAAAACCCAATATTCGACTTTAACCCGGTTTGGCTACAATTTCACTTGATGCATGTGAATGAAAAGAGCATGAGAAGCAATGATGACGAAC